CTGACTAAGAAGCTATATGATTAGATGCAAAGGTAGATAATATGTTAGTAGATAAAGATGCTAAGAATGAGTTAATGAGAAACAGTTGATCAAGTGAAAATAGGTAGATGTTAGATGAAGTATTGTTTGGTATTCTTAGTAGAAATAAATGCTTGTATAGTTCATATTAAAAAGGTTAAATGAGAGGATGTTTAGACAGAATAGAATCTGAAAAGTTAGTATATATATATAGCTCAGTTTTGTTATGATGGATAGATATATTAAAGCTATGTCTGAAGGAATGTTGTTAAAATAAGATAGATATTCTTCAAATGTTATATAGTAGTATATAATAGATAAATTATATAGTAATAGAAATTTGTTATAATATATATTTGTTTCTGCAAGAAGTAAAGTGTTAAAAACAGAAACATAAGAGGTTAGATTGTCTTCTTCAGAGGCATTCACCATTTGAAGCTTGGCTTGCATAGCTATGAAGGATACCATAGTCTGCTCTGTATATTGAGTCTGACTATCATTAACTTGGCCCTTCATGTATTTATTAAAAATAATATTTAAAGCAATAACTCAAATTATATAATATTTTAACACTATTATACTTTTCAAATGTTTTATTTTTCTAAAAATTTTTGTTTTCTGTACTGCTAATAGAATAATACTATATACTATTGAGTTCAGAAAATTGTAACTTAGTTACTTCAAAATTCAAAACCTCATGTAATATACAACAAGTAATCTTTTTAAAAGAGGGTGTTGGATTTGGCTTGTAGGCAGTTAAGGCTTTCAGTTACTTTGGATCAATGAATGCAAATAGGATAAGTCATGTGGTCAAGGATTAAATAGCAACATTATTAGAGATTCACAAGGTTTGTAAAGATAATAGTATTAGTGTTTATTAAGTACAATGTAGTGTATTAGGATTTATTGTTTAATAAAGCAAACTAAGTATACTACTCCTAAAAACCATTTTAGTCTTTATTTATAATATAAAATTTATTGTTTACAAATATAACATATTCATTAAAACCAATTAATCTATTTACACATATTTATTTAATATCTATTATTTTCTCTTTTTATTTCTTATCTACCTCTTCAGATCTGAAATACTATTTCTGATCTTAAATATAACTTATTACACTTATTACATTTATTGCACTTATTGCACTTATTGCATTTCACGCATTTTTTATATAATTGGTCACAATATTTAGTATTACAATATTTATCATCACAACACTAATCTAATTTGTACATACTGATTTAATTATATGTAACATTTATGATGAATTGTTAAAAAAGACTTGATATGCTCAAAATGACTATTGTATCATAAACTTATTTTGTTGAATTATTCTTTTAAAAACTACTATAGAAAATGTTTTGTTACTAATTATATAAACAAATATTTAATATTAAGGTATTTGGAAAAGATTGCATATGTGTAATAATAGAATGAACAAATTTGATATAACTAAAAAATATAATTTAAGAATTGGATATCTTGTATTACTGTAGCAATTAATTAAGTATGCTTTGTTTATATAAAAGTATGTGAATCTTGTGCATAATAACATAATTTATGTAAATAAATTTGTAAATTTTTAGTATTTATTAATGGTTGTGTTCACATTTCTAGTATTAAAAATTTTAAAAAAAGTGCTTTATATGCATTATGTATATAGATTTTATGCACTGATTTTATTTACTCTTCTTTTTACTATAATACTATTAGTTTCTATATATTTGTTATAGTAATAGTAGGATTTCAATTTCTTTTTAGTCTTAGATTAATTCTAATCATAGGCTTTTACGATTACATGTAATAGTAAGCTACTTATAAATATAGCTTTATACCAATTACTAATATTTTTAATTTTCTTTCTAATAACTATAAAGATTCACTAATTTTCTTCCAAGTTTCTATTAGTTAAGAGTAAATCGCATTTCTAATTAAATAAAATTAACAATCTTTAATAATATGATACATCTATAGTGAATTAGAGAACAAGATCAGATGTGGTCTAAAAATTAAAAAAAAAAAAATTTTTTTTTTTCACTTAAGTAGTTATGCTGGTGAACTTTTATTAAAGAAAGATTAATATTGCTACTAATACTACAAGTTTAATTTCTTAGTTCCAACTCTCCTGGCTGCTTCTTTGAGTGCCCAGAAGTGATCTACTGTACCAGACAGTAACAAGTTACTACTTAGAAGGTTATTCCTGACCATCACTCTACAATAGAATATTACCAAACTGATAATACTTTCTCATAGTAAAATGAAAAAAAAGAAAAAAAAAAACACTGAACTAAACTAAAAAGGGTTACAGGAAAAAAAAGAAAAAATAAAAGTATTAGGAGGTACATCTTATTCATAATCATTCCAGTATGGTCACTAATACTTTAAACCTGTACTAAGGATCTAACTATACTTTAATCTGTACTAAAGAGATAAAAATTCTATATACATGATTCTAGAAATTACTATATATCTCTAATTTATTATAATTCTCCAACTTAAATCCTTTTTTATTTCTTCATTACACCATATGTTAGGCTATACACATGATTGTTGTATTTCTATTACATCATGTTACAACACGTAACTGTCCAAAAAAGAAAGAGGTAAACAATGCTAATCTTTTATAGAAGAGAAACCAAATTCCCTACTTTTAAATAAAAAAATGAAATTGATGAAAAAGGTTAATGAGTATGATATGTGAAGAGTCAAACTAAAGATAATGTTTTCAGTTGTTTGTTTTGTTTTCAAGCTTTTAATAACCTTTAATCAGAGTTTTCTCTATTGTTTCTAGACTTTCCTTCTGGTTTGAATACTAAATGTATTGAGGAGTCTGCCTATAGCAAGATTTGACCTCAACACAAACCACCAAAAGAGTCACCTACACCTTGGTTTTTTTATGTACTTCTAGTTTGTTAGCAACAATCTGTTTTATATATTAGAACAAAATCAAAGATTTTATCTACTTGAAAACATAACTCTTCAAACTGTTTTGGTACTAGTTTGGTTTAAGTGATCATCAGAAAGAGTTTTGATTAAAAAAAATAATCACTTATTCTTGAGGAAATTATAACAATGATTATTAATCATTTTCATTATTAAATTTTTTTTTTTTGAATTATACCACTATCTATACTAAAAATCAAGTTGAGATATTTTCATAAAAATTATGAAAACAAAAAATATGACAGGAAAAAAAAGTATCATGCTTCTAATAGACTTCATTATAAAACTAATAAGTTGATTTATTTTGAAGCAATAGGTAAGGATTTACTGTTTTGTTCTATTAACATATACATTTAGAATATCTAATATGTATATATGCTTTAAATTTATTAAACTCACTAAAGTCTAAATCCGTTATACCCGCACAGTCCTCTTAGAAATTGTTTCTAAATTAGCTCATATTTAACATCCTTATTTTTTATTACTATTGTAAACATTTAAACTGCAATTACAGATTTATCATTTCAGCTAACAAGCATAAAGCTGACTACATTCATAGAGTAAGGCCAATTTCTCATGACCCAACTTGTCAACCTTTATGGATATATTCAAAGCACGAGATATAGTAGTACTTCGACCATGTGATATTGAAAATCGTGTTCGTTCTAAAAGTGGGGACCGAAACATCATACATGGTAGCTTGGAGAAGTCAAAAATCTGAGTAGTCGGGCAGAAATTTTTTTGTTCTTTTTTTTTGTTTTTACAGTCAAACTCTCTATAATCACACTCTTGGTTTCAAGAATTTTAAGGTTAACTTTATATGCATTATATGAGCTGGTTTTAAAAGTTTGTGGTTATAAGCAATGAGATTATAGAGGAAATGACTATAGAGAGGTCTGACTGTAATGAACGATAACTCTAAAACACCTATTTAATCACAATTAACCATGATACCATTATGACGATATATTTAGGCCCTTATTTGTAATAATTTTCAAATATCAGGCCTCTTTTTGTAATTATTTTCATTTTGGGTCCTTATTTGTAATTATATTCGTTTTTGGGCCCTCATTTGTAAATTCCCCTTAAATTCTTGTAGTATATAATTTAAAAGTTTAACATCATTAAGCCAAAAAAAAAAAATCGGGTTAACAATAAACTTTATTTTTAAGACACATTAATTATACCGTATAGCGCTGCATATAGTACCTCGGGTACTATTCAAGAAAGTCGTCTTATATTGAATAATACCTCCCAGGCATTAGAAGATTGGAGGATAATACAATTAATTGTTACTTATCACTAAATACCTTGCTATTAAACATACCAAACATAGTGAAAATATTGCACTATTAATTATGAAAATTGGATCAGAAACCGCTTTTCAAAAAAATGGAGGATACTATTCCATGGGAGTACTATATGCAGCGCTATACGATACGTATAATGTTATACTAATTGTGTTAATTAAAAGTTGTAACATTCATTATCTGTTATACGTAGTAATTATGGCAGATGATACCAATGTATCTAGTACACGTGATTCATGAAATACAAGCTACGCCAAATTTATATTTATTTCATATCAGATAGTCTAAACTAAGTGGGAATAATATAATTATAATTATTTCCACTATTTTTTCAATTATCGTTATCGGTTATCATTATTGAAAGTTGGAATTGGAAGTTCATTATAGTCATGATAATATCGATACGTAATATAAATATTAAAAACCTACATTAAATGTTTCATTGTATGTACGTAGTGTAAATATCGATATATATTGTATACATTGCACTGCAGATTTAAGATTTTTTTCAAAATTCTAAATTTATAAATAAATTTATAAAATGAAATTATAAATATACGTATACGTATTGAAACAAAAATTTGACCGGAAGATATTTTCCGATAGACTTAGTGTTAGTTGTACTGTACACAATATAATTAAAAAAAAATTCCATGTGCATATTTTCTTTACAGATTTGAAATGATTTTCAAAATATTCTTTTTTTTTCACTTTTTCGATAAAAAATGAGTTTTGATAATAATCCTTCTACTGCACAAAAAGATGCTTGGAAAAGGTGAGGGATTTCAAGTTTAAAAAATTAATCAGAAAGTTTTATAATAAAATTAACTGTTATAAAAAAAAAAAAAAAATTGATATGGTTTATTACAAAATAGAGAGCAATTAGAATTAAGATCAAGGTTAATAGAAGTTGACGATTTAAGTTTTTCAAAAAAAATTATTGAAAAAAATAATAAACAAAGAATAGAATTTGAAGGATTAAATTATATAGGTGGAGTTGATTTAAGTTTTATTGAAAATAATAATGAAGATGCAGTAGCTTCGTTGGTTGTCTTAGAATATCCAAGTTTAAAAGTATGCATATAAAGATCGAATTATTGAATTATTGAGAATTTTGGATAAAAATATTTTAGTAATACTCATTTAATATAAAAAAATAAAGGTTATCTATGAAAATTATAAAATGGTTAAACTAAAACTTCCATATATTGCTGGATTTTTGGCATTTCGAGAAGTCACACCGTTACTAGAATTACTTCAAAATCTTCGACAAACTAATCCTAATATATTTCCACAAGTTGTAATCGTTGATGGTAATGGTTTATTACATCCAAGGAAATTTGGATTGGCTAGTCATTTGGGTGTACTAGCAGATGTTCCTACCATTGGGGTTGGTAAGAACTTTTTGCAAATTGATGATGGAAATGAATTAACCATGTTACATGTGAAAAAGACAGTTAAAGAAAAGTTGAAGAAAGGTGGTGATGCATATTTCCTTTGTGGTGTTTCTGGCACAACATATGGCGCGGTATGCCTATGTCTATATTATATATGTAAATTATGATAATTTTTATTTATGATTTTAATTTCATTGATTATCTTTTTCATTTGATAAGGCGGTTCGAAGTTTAGAAAACACTACGAATCCAATCTATGTATCAATTGGTCATAAAATATGTCTTGACACAGCAATTCAATTAGTTGTCAAATGTTGTCATTATCGTATTCCAGAGCCTACAAGACAAGCTGATGTGCGATCCCGAAATTTTGTTAAAAACCTTTTGAAATATACTATATAATACCAATTATCTTTTATATGCTATTGTGTGGAAATGTTTTGTATCTTTAACGTTATTAAATAAATTATAAATTCAAACAATTTATTAATACGCGTTCGCGTCAAATTATCAATGTTGTGGTAAGTCGTGTAAGATTGACACGATTCCCATTCCGTGATAAACGATATTGTGTTATTTTTGAACTTGAAATAATTTAAGAATTTTCTGAAAGATAATAATTTATATTATATAAGAGATATTTTACAAAATATATATAAAAAAAAAGAAAAAAAAATGGCGATATAAATACATATATATACTATAATATATAATAATAACCTATAAAATAATAAATAATAAAAATAATTTTATGAATCTATATATTTTAAACAAAAAGCCACGTATTGTCCAACCTGATATAATAGATATACTATAAAAAAAAATTTAACAAATAATGCAATTTTTTTTATGATTAAGATGCTCTTCACCACCCTCCATTAATAAATATTTAACACCAATATCAGATTTATCAAATTTCGGATCTTCTAAAGAAGCTAATAATAAATTTGCTTTTATGGAAATACTTTTAAATTTTCCAGTTACATTCGAATTCCCATGAGAATTTTCATTTGTTTTATTTCTCCCAGTAAATTTGGCTTTTGGAGCATGTTTTTTATTTTTAGGTAAAAGTGGAGCAGACCACCATCCTTTAATAGATTCATATATATCTTGACTCACAGGAATTATCAATCTACCACTTGTAACAAAACATGCTTTGCTATAGGGTTGATTCATTTTAGTATCATATATATAAATTCTTGCTTCTTGTTCTTCAGTACCTCGTCCGAAATATCTTATAGAATCATTTATTAATCTTTGATGCCAGATACCACCATAACAAAGTTTTAAACCTTCAAGTTTTGATTTGTTTGGACCAATAGTTCCTTTTGGTTGTGTTGAATCAACAGAGAAAAGTGAAGTAAGAGTTTTATTATTTATATTTTCAAATGCAAAATCAAATGCATGACGAGTTTGTTCCAATTTAAGTATATCATGTCGCGAAATGAATACCTAAAAAAAAAAAAAATAACGATTAATTTTAATATAATTTAATACTATATATTATTATATATTAGTATATATTATAGTGAAAATGAAATAAAATAATATATACCAATAGGCGTTTATCTTGATTTGAGAAAACCTTATGGAATCGTTTTACGATAATTTCTTTTATTCCTTGATCGAAATATCGAGAAAGGACCATGTACCTGCATAGATCACGAGTTGGTAGATGGGAAAAAACTTCAAGCACAAGTTTGTGAGGTAATGTTAATATAGTTGACATTTTCGAATTTAATATATAGATAAAAAGTATATATATGCTATTACTGTTAAAGATATTTTTATTTTTATTTTTATTTTTGAAAAGAATGGATAAATCAATTATCAAAAAATATATTTTTCAGAAAATGAATGGATGGATAAATCAATTATCAAAAAAAAAAAAATCTTTAACTAGTCTGTTGGGCTATATTTATAATGCTTAACAATGATATTTTAAAAATATCTACTCGTCACCTAAAATCCGACGAAATATATAAAAACGGAACAGTAAAACGCTTATATTCAATATATGGTACTCAAGGAGAACCTAAAATTGGATTAATGCCTTGTTAGGAATAATTTAACTAAAGTTAACAAATGTAACTAACGGATTTACGTCGTATTTTCTATAAATATTATCCAAAATATTACTGTCTTTGTAGTTTAAGGTAAACAAGTAAACAGTTAAATTTAATTAACTCGGCTTTCCAGAAATGTTGTTAGGGTTATCACCAATTAGCACTATAGGCACATTTTGATCGGGATTTGGGATTTTGTCAATATTTAAAAATTAGGTCGTATGATGACAAATTTTTCATCAAAGTTAATGTCACTCAAATAGCGGGAAATATTATTGTTATTTGGGTTACATCTTTAGTCAGGTAAGTACTTTTGGAACTCGTATCGTAACCGTTGTTAGATATACCTCACGCGATTTTTCTTTGTTCAACACTTGAAAATCTCATGATCCACAAAGCATATTTTTATAATTTAACTTTTGTTACTTAATTTCCTTTTTTCGTATTCTTTGGGGTAAAGGTTATTTTTTTTTGGAAATTACTTTGTTCGACTTACGTTTTTTTTTTTTTTAGTTCTGGTCAATTTTTTTAAGTTTCACAAATTTCTAGCGACTTTATATGTAGGGGCAAAGTTAGTGCATTGTAGTGCAGAAAAGATAGAGTAGAATAGAACAAAGAGTTAAGTGCATTAGAAAAAAGTGTAAATGTAATTATGTAATAATAAATCTAGGTAAAATGAATACACCAATAGACCATCTGCTAATTTTGCGCACCTAATTTACTTTCTTTTTTTTTTTCATCAGATGTTTTATTGATCTTGATAAATTGTTAATCGTCGATAAAATTAGTAACATAATTATACAACAATTTATGTTTTAATAACGTGGTCAAAAGCCAAATTATAAGTAAACAATACAAAAGTTAGTTTCAGCGTGTGAGTCATTAGCTTTGCTTGTGACATATTGACAGCACAGACGTTTATTTAAGTAAATTCTACTTTAGTCTTTGTTCGATTTGTACAAGCTTGTCTCGTTAAGTTTAGATTTATCAAATGACTTGACGAAAGAGCATATGTCTAATTGTTTTAATGAATTAATGAAGCACGGGATCTTCATCGAACCTAGTAAAATTTTCGACATTTCTTCCTCTCATCTAAAAGTTGTCATTTTCCGAAATTTTCGAAGCACCTTGGTCATTATATATGTGCTATTCCTAATTATTAAATATTTATAATTCCATCTTGTTGGAACATCTAGATCAGATACAAGAAACCGTCTATTTTCCATTTCAATTATAAGCTTCTTCATTTAATGACAGTCGACAATTTAATTTTTTTTCATAACAATCAAATTTAGAATATGAAGTGCAACAAACTTTCTTTAGTATTGTTGTAAATGTATAGCACATGTGATCATATTTGATTCATTGTCTATTATTTTTGTCCATTGTCCGTGTTGTGGCAATAATATATTTTTCCGATTTTATAGAAATTAACTAATAATTTCTGATATTATATTTAGGAATAAATTTGTCCTATTCCAATCGTTATCGATCCAATGAAGCGTTGAGATAAGTAATTATTATTATTGCAAGCAATTCAAATGTTTGTTGTAATTGCTATCTTTCTCATCATCGCTTTTAAAATATCATTTACTTATTTTTTGACCTTACTATATAGGTTGTCGATATGGCAATCTTTATTGTTCATTAAGTTCTTTTAACAGCTCATGAAACAAGAGTCTTCGACTACGAAAACTTATTACAGTAATTTGCTATTGTTTTAAGTGCATGAATTATTTGTTTTAATTTGTTATAAGTATTACTATGAAAATTATTAATTCCAGTCGTTTTTTTTTCGCAAGTACTTGGGTTAACGTTAAGATATTTATGCAACGGTAATGGATCAAAAAGTTTATATATTTTTTTTATTAAGTGTAAGAGATCAAAAATGTTTTACCTTAAAAAGAATCGTGTTTTGGTAATTCAATAATATTTACGCTATGTTAATTATCTACAACGATAGCGATAGTAATCAAAACAAAAAATTAACAGTGAAAGTGGCCAAAGTATCCTTTAAGTTAAAAAAAAAAAAAAAAAAAATACTTGGCACTTATTATTAGTCGCTTTTGTAATTTAATAGCTGTTTTTACTTTTAAAGCTTTCGTTTGTATGTAATTGTTTTATTTGATTAAATTGTTTTCTATTTTATTATTTTTACATTTATTCATTAACGATTAAAAATGGCAATTCGGAACAAAACTAGACCGCGGTTTGGTCTTATTGAACTACTTAACATTCCTAGCGAAACAATCTATATAAGCTTATGTAACTTTTAAAGGTATAATTATTATCAATCTGTCATATATAAAGGAGTTTGAAACTGGGTTGGTTAATGCAACTTGTCACAATTATCCAAATTTATAATAATACGTATTAATTTGATAAGTCATCTTGACATTTCATACCAGATCGCTGACGAAAAAAAATCGATCTTTTCCTTGAAATAAAAGTTCTTTAAAGATAATTCATATATGGGGGTGCAGTAGAAACCAAGCAAATTGTTTCTAGTAAAATATCTCAACAATTATTAAACCAAACTTGATAAAAAATTTTTGTTGAGATATTTTAATTAAAATTTTAAAAAAGCTCACTAAAAACAATTTGCTTGGTTTCTGCTGGCACCCCCCATATATTATTATTTTTACGTGCCTGATCAGTCTGAGGTGAACCAATGTGAAATAAACATCTATAAAGTGTATATTCACGCTGATTTTTCCTCGGAAATGATACACACGTGATATTGCTCACTTATACTGTTTATATCTTATCCTAGGACTTTTTGAGGCAATCAAAAAATGAAGCTTCAATTGAATAGTAATACGAGATTTCTTATTGACATACAGTACAACTAAGAATCAAATTTATTTTGATTGAAACATGACTAACTCTTTCCTTTATGCTAGTTATGGATAGACAAGAACGTTATAAATTGGTTTTCATCAACAAGATCTATTCTCTAGTGTTTTTTTTTTTTTATGAGCTTTGATCAAGAAATGACAATTTCCTTTGCGCAAGTCAATTGAATAAACATATACAGTTAATGAATATGGGTTAGTGTATGGCTTCTTTATTTTATGTACTCTTGAATAGAGATGCTCTGCTCAGTATAATTTTACGATTCACCACAATTTCCGATCAAAGTTAAGCTTAAATATCAATATCACATTAACTCATAAGTTATTTGGAAACGAAGGCAAATAGTAGGGTAATCCATAATATATAATGGTTTGATGCGAAACATCAAATAACTAATTATTCATCAAACTTTTAACGAACAAGGCGTTATTGGTCGCTATTGTAAAGCGCCCAATTCAATTTAATATCAATTAAGACTGA